CCCAGCGATCYACGCAAAMCCGACAGCTAAGCAACTGAGAGGGACAGGCTAGAGACAGCYCTGTAGCCAGWCAACAAGTRGAGCRTAGCAGGATAGTATAACAAGGAGGTACCACAATGTTAGAGTACTTCAATCAGGCTACCGTAGGCAGGGGGGAGAGACGGTACATCCTTCACTCGGGATGTAATTCATCGGTCCTTCAAGCCATAAGACTGCCAGTGACAGGCTGCAGACAAGGAGACATCTAGCGAGGGTTTAGGGTTTTAGCACCAATTACAGAATAAGAGCAGAACCTCAGTAATACAGGCTAACTTAGGCAGGGGTGAAGGGAGGTACATCCTTCCGTCGGGAAGTAATCAATGCCATCCTTCGGGCCTCCACACCATGAGGGGGAGGAGCGTGTGTACACATATTGTAATCCTTTCTGAAGAAGAAGAAGAAGAAGAAGAAGAAGAAGAAGAAGAAGAAGAAGAAAGAAGAAGAAGAAGAAGAAGAAGAAGAAGAAGAAGAAGAACTCTTCGCTGTCTCACCTGCAGGTAACTGCCGCCATATACTAACTGCCGCCGGCGTGTCTCTCTGTGCAGGTCGCTGGCGTGGAGTCCAGCTATGGTGCCCAGGAAAGTACCGCCTCAGCAGGTATGGCCTCCGCCTCACCTCCTACCTACGCCTCTACACCTTAGCGCAGCACTGTGTCGCGCTGCTCCAGCAGTGTGTCGCCCAAGGAGTGAGCTACTCGAACTGTGTGTCTGCCCTGGCCTGGCCCAGCTATATGTAGCGCTGGGCCTCGCTGGTGTGCCTCTGGTCCTTGGCCTGAAACGGCCTGCCTGGGTCCCTACCGGACGTCCAGGCCCTCCCTGCTGATGCAGCAGGTAGTGTCTGCTACCGGACGAAAACGAACCTGGCCCGAAAGGGCCTGGCCATGAATGGAGAAGGCCCAAAACGTGGAACAGACAAAAATAGGACAGCAAATAAATAAATAAATAAATAAATGCTGCCTCAAATCGAATGCTGCAGCCCTAAGGCCGGCCGCGGGCCTCCAGGGCGCATGTCCGAAGGGCGTGAGGCCTGGGGACCCCCAGCAACCATCGGGCCCCCAAAATGGGCGGGGAGGCCCAGCATGTGACACGACTATTCCATGGGTGGCCATAACTGGAGGGCAAAAGGGTTTAGGGTGAAAGGTACACTCGGTAGCCGGGGAGCACAAGGGCTTAGGATTTAAGCAAAAGCGGTTTAGGGTGACATCCTTAACCCTTGTGCTCCCCGGCTACCCAGTGTACCCTTCACCCTAAGCCCGTCTTCCCTCCGGTTAACCAATCATGGTCACTCATGGAATGGCAATATGGACCCGTGTACCGGATAGCCGGGGAGCACAGGGTTTAGGGTTTAAGCAAAAGCGGTTTAGGGTGACATCCTTAACCCTTGTTCTCCCCGGCTACCCAGTGTACCCTTCACCCTAAACCCGTCTTCCCTCCGGTTAACCAATCATGGCCAATCTGGACCCGTGTACCAGGTAGCCGGCCGGGGTACACTGTGTAGCTGGGGAGCACAAGGGTTAAGGAAAAGCAGGCAGAAAATCAATCAGGATCAAGGGAAGGTTAAGGATTTCAGTGGGTCTTTCTCCAGGGTATACAGCTAACGGGAAGCCGGATTGCTGTTCAAAGAGTTATGGGCTTAGTTGAAACCACCCCATAAAAGGCAAACACATTTGTGACAGATTTGTGCTCCAGTATTTGACAATCTGAGTGGTCTTTTCAAGTGGCCTTTGGCAGTCGGCCAACAATACGTCAGTGACTCAGTGAGGTAAAATTAGGCAGGGGTGAGAGGCGGTACATCCTTCCTTAGGGAAGACATCAATGCCGTCCGCTTGGACCTCTCGGCCATAATGAGGACGTGCGTGCGTGAGTAACAATTGTGATTCTTGCGACTTGTCGGTGGAATAGGAACAGGACTGATGCTTCCTCCCAGAAGGGAAAAAAGGAGCCAGAACCGTTTTTTTTTTTGTTTTTTTTTTTTGAGTCTGCCTAAGCCCCTAACTCCCCCCCGGGCTCGTTCATTACCTTACGCACGGACCCTTCCACTCCCTCATTCACTCGGTCACTCGCTCGCTTGCTCCCTTGCTGTCTTGCTTGCTCCTTGCCTTAACCATTCTAAGCATGGCCCATCTGTCACACGTACAGTCATTTATATCTGTATCTACTCCAAAGTTACACCAAATTCAGGTAGAACGCAAAGTAAGATAAGCGATTGATTACATAATCGAGCAAACAAGGAAAGAAAACTTAGTGACTGGGTCCATCTGTCACATGTACACAACGCATGGTCTCTCGACATCTGTCATACGTACACAAAGCGTAGCTCATTATCTCGGTATCTACACTAAAAGTTGCACCAGATTCATCTATAATGACGGGGCCCATCTGTCACACATACACAATGCCTGGCCTGTCAACATCTGCCATACATAACACAACGCGTAGCTCATTATCTCTGTATCTACACTAAAATTTGCACCAGATTCAGCTATAATGACCGGGCCCATCTGCCACACGTACACAACGCGTGGTCCTTCAACACTCTCCGCAATAGAGGCAAAAGACTACCATCTACACCCACAGAGAACGCTTGGTCATTATTATACTAGCATATTTGGTCCACCTTTCAGTCTAGATACAGCGATGATGATCGGGCGTTCTATTCGGTGGAAGAGGGTAACAGGGGGCTCAATCACATCAGGAATTCAAAGCCTCAGAAAACATGGGAGTAGAACACCTGGTCATTACAGCTGTATTTGGGGCAACTTGCAGTCTAGGTACACAGGAGTAATGACCTGGAATCCTATTCAGGCGACGACGGCAGGATCCATTGATGCTGACCACGCAGAGAACTCTACGAGGACTGTTTTTGGGGCAATTTGCAGTCTAGATACAGCTGATTTGGGGCAACCTGCAGCCTAGATACAGCGATAATGACCCCCCGGCATCCTATTCGGAGAACTCTACGACGACTCTTCAGAGAAATCTACGCCGTCTCTTGGTTTTACAGTGAGCAGAGGCGACATGTGGTTCTCGACTGGTCGCTGATGAGATGACGTGGCAACGGGTGAGCAGCAAAGCGCCCCGGGAGCTTGCTGGCGGTCGGCAAGAAGAGCAATCAAAAAGTAGAGCTCTTTCTAATTACGGTACAAGAACCGAATGTCACACCTTGCACTCATGTTTCACTAATTTTCACATCTTCGTGAATATACGAACACATTTCTGACAGACTATCGGAGACCAGACGGCAGTGGATCACGGTGACTTCTTCAAATTCTTTCGGCAATCTTTTGGAAAAACAAAACAAGGGTACGCGTCCATTATCCATAAGTCGAAAAACTCCACACGGGTTGTGATTTGCCAGGACTTTTTTTCATTTGACCTTTTTCTTTTTTTTTCCCTGAGTTTTGTGAACTTTTCTCCGATGTCTTGGAAATTTGTCGCAGTTTATTGGCTTGGGATTTCTCAGAAAAGATGAAAGATGCTAGAGGTCACAGACGCAAGATGGTAGACGTCACAGGCGCAAGATGGTAGACGTCACAGGCGCAAGATGCTAGACGTCCTGGAAACAAGAAAAGTTAGAGAACAGCAAAAGGTTGGAAAGGACCAGCAGCCTAGCTCAGTTGGCTGAGCACGTAAGTGGTATTCAGAGGAGGTCGTGGGTTCGATTCCCCGCATCGTCCTTTCGACTCCCCGTGGCGGCATGGCCCCCTGTGGCGCACTACTTGTTCACGAGCGGAGATATCTCGCTCGCCCCCCCTACTCGGTCTTGGAGGATGCGCCTTTCCCCCATCTACCGCTAGGGCTTAGGAGCCTGGGTGCTGCTCCTCGCACAGAGTAGAGCGCACTGGTCCAGTGGAAAGACATAGATAGGTAGGTAGTGGGGGATATATTGAGAGAAGAATATTATAGGGTAGTTTAGAGAAAAAAAAAAAAAAAGAGGTGGGAGGCCCCTTCTGTTGTGTGGCTGGGTGCTGCTAGGAAGCCTCCCGACCAACAGAGGTATCCCTGGGGAGGCTATGGTATGGGAAGAGGGATCGGTTGTAGCAATCCCCCCCCTTGTTAGGCGTCTAGGGCCACAAGGGTAAGGCTTTCCTTTTTTCCTACAAATAATTTGTACTTTGAAACTCATGCTTGCCGGTGATAAGCCACCGGACTGATGCCCCCCAGAATAGAAGGGGCGGACTTGTTTAAAAAAAAAGAAAAAAAAAAAAAGAAAAGGGAGGTGTTTGGAGAAGGGTACTAAACACTGAATAGTGAACACGGTTCAAAAATTGCAAAAAAGAAAGGAAAATGGAGGTGCTAGACAAAAGGGGTTGGATTCATGTTTCAGTTCCCTTACTGCAAGGATGCGCTGCTCCTCTTCCTCGTCTCTGTCAACGCAATATGCTGCACCCCACTGACAACCCACATTTAAAAAATTAACCAAAGAAATCAAGAACTCAGTAAATAAATTAAGAAACTGAGAAATTAGGAGATCAAGAAACTAAGAAATCAAGAAAAGGTAATACAATGTCCTTCGGGGCATCCGTTAAAATTGGAACGATACAGAGAAAGAAGATTAGCATGGCCCCTGCGCTTTCAAGGATGACACGCATAAATCGAGAAATGGTCCGAATTAAAAAAAAAAA